ACAATGTGCTTCAAGTCGGGAGAAACAAAATGAGGGGCATTACTTTTTGACCGATCTTCGTAGTCAATAATCAAATAGTTTACTGTACTAAAATTCTGATTTTTAAAAAATAAATAAAAAAGATTGATAAATCTTAAATTAGTCTAATATTAAGTACACATGAACTTTTGGAATTAAATGTATAAATTGTTTTAGTTAATAATTTTCAGGATAAATTTATTCCAGAGCGTAATATTCCCAACACGAGTTTGTGTTTGGATGCCCCACAGTACCTAAATCAAGCCGTGCTACCAATGGCTGCCGCAAAGTCGGCAAAACAAATTTTGAAGATAAAAGCTATTGACACTGAAATACAATTTGTCCTTGATTACAATTGCATATTATAGAATCTGGAGGTATGAATATATTCATCAAACTTAATGTTGCATGTATTTAGCATTTTGGGTCAATAGTCCGACTTTGTCAGCTAGCTTCCGGTGTCCGACATGCCTGGACCTACTTAAATCCTCATACGTAGTGGTAAATGGCGTAAGTATTGTAAACATGCGGTATTCCATACAGCTAGAGAAACTGGGCCTGTGTGCCATCCTAGAGACCTCCACATAATATTACTTAATGAAAATATTTCAACGCAGAACATTTCTACTATATTTTTTGGCTTTAAATTATTATTTTCTTGTAGATTCGAACAAGTAGAATGATATTTCATAGAAGAATACTATATCAACAATTCTGTGTCACAAATAAAATTAATAAAGTACAACAAACTTCATTTGAATAGGTGAACACCAGAACAGTGTAAGTGACATTGTTTTTTAAGTCAATACTACTGTAAAGTCGTGGTGCTTTGTTTCAACATTAAAAACACGGCATTTTAATCGTTCATTAAAACTGCGAAAATACATTGTTACTTAAATACACCCTAAAATAAACGCTTTTTTTAAATTTAAAAAACGCTTATAACGTTCTGATTTCATCCATTCACTTCTTTTTTAAATGTTGCTATTTACTTTCCGTAGATATTGTAGGGAAGAGCGGTATATTAAATATAATTTACATAAATAAATGTAATAAAATTAACACAATGTGTGCCAAGTTCCTAATTTTAAGCGACATTTGTTAATTTTTGTACATTGAAACCTTCAAAAGAAGGCGGGCAAATATTTTTATGACAATTTGTAGCGCTTACGTCTCGAGATGTAATTCTCAAATTTCTTAATAAAAATGTATGTTAACAATTGTAATTAATGAATGTGCAGGAAGCAACCGACTCTTTTACGAATTTGTTTGTTTTCGTTTTTTGTTATTTTCCTTCCTCAACAAAACTTCAATTCATTACAGATAATGATTGTATATTTCATTTGATAATTACCTGTAATGCTCTCCCTTTGAGAAGTCCTTTGACTTCACAAAGAAAGGTTTTTATGCTAATACTTTCAACAGATGTTGATTAATGAATCTATTACGTTGAGTACATTCTGTGCTTCCAAGAATTCCTCAATTTCAGGAACACTTCGTTTCTGTATAAAAATTATTACATGTCTTCCTCACTAATAATAATAATAATAATAATAATAATAATAATAATAATAATAATAATAATAATAATAATAATAATAGCGGCGGCGATGGTTAGCGTATCGGACTGGTGAGTTGGCGGCTTCAAACTCGATAGAAGCCGTGGATTTTTTAAGGGCGAAATTATCCTTCCTTAGGAGGCGAAGTAAAGCCGGCTGTCCCATGTTAGTAGATTTACTTGCATGTAAAATATCCTCAAGCCTAAATGACGCCTCTGAGCAAACTTCAAATCCCCTGTTTCGTCGCCCAAGAAATCCCCTCTTTTCTTCGCTACATGGTGAAAGGAGCGTAGCGAAATTTGCGTGGTCAGACGGAAGAACGGGCCTGATGGCCCGAGTCTCATAAAATATCAATTCAATTCAATAATAATAGGTAAATGAAAAAATATATATTTAAAGGTATATAAATTAATAAATATATCTAAATAAATATATACAATACGTAAAGATATGAATATCCATCAAGATGTGTCATGGGGCGTCCTCAAGAACGTCAGCATGACCTAAAATCGTATGCTGCCAGTCCGTTCGTCTTGCCCTACCGCTTTTGTCCTCGCGGTGGGAACCTCTGGGTCGCTCACTAGATGGCAGCATCGGTGCGGCGAAGCATCTGCGGGGAAAGTTACACGAAGATGTACTCGGGAGGAGGTGGGGGGTCGGTGAGGGGTGACCGAAGGAGGCTAAAGAAGCAGATGGGAAGCAGCAGAGGTGTGCGGAGGGAGGGTTGCTGGGTATTAATAGAGAAGCTCGCAACGTGGAGTTTCAATGCCCATAAAAGCATTTCGCTGTCGGAATTACGAAAAGGCGAATCGAGGGAAAAGGTAGGTTGCGTTCTCAGATACGTCTGCCAGGAGACTCCTTATTTTCGAAACACTTTTGTTTTAGAGGGATTAGGTAGTACTCAATGAAGTTGAGTACGTACGTTCCAATAAACAGGTTAAATACAGATTCGACCAAATATTGATTATGAAGCCTATTGAACTTTTCTATACTAGATGTTAATTACGTTATCAGACTCCTTCATTGAAACCATATTCTGAGCAAAATTCAGAGATCCACATTCCATTATTGTTTACAATTAATTGGATCGTCCAACTGTTCGAAAAATTGTGAAGAATTTAGAGTAGCATACTTCCTTACGAACATGATCTCAATGAATTGAATACCGTACCAACATATGGTATTCATTGAAATATTTCCGACATTCATTCGTTTAACGTGTCATCTCCTATTGTACAAACAATACGGACATAAAATCAGACTAAAGTTAATTTTTACTTTCCCGGCTTACAACTTACGTAGTAAGGAGAATGAATTGTAATGCTCCGGCAAAAAGTGGCGATTTTTCGACAGAAAACGTCGTATTGTGGGACTCTGTCATCGAAAAAGTAGATAAATCTTGTTCACTCGTATAAGTAGTAAATTACTTTCTCTAACACGCTGTGTAGTCAGAATCCAAGTTTTGTGGGTTCATGAATCCAAAAAATCGATTGACGGCTAACGTCAGTTCGTCTATCTGAATATGGTCAACGCTTCTAACGCAACTAAACCTTTCAGATGATTATCTCCGAAATTAATATTCCCCGATCAATTTTAATTAACTCAAGGCTCTACGAGTTTAAAATGATATTTTGATTTTGGGGGTATTTTATAGAAAGCTTCAACAACGTTTTCAAAATCTTCTTAAAAATGGCTCCAAAGTTTCCATTAAACTTTTTCCTCAGGTAGCCTAAAGGACGCTCCTAAAGGATCCTGATCCCATTCTTAATGAAATCTCTAATATTTCTAAAATTGGGAAAGTTCAATATTTTTCGGTTTCTTTCTACAACAATTCTGAAGAAAGAATTTTTCCTTGACATAGAGTAGTCCTTCCTCGACGTCTCTTCGCCAGCAATGTCCCCTACTTGCAGGGGAGAAGCTATAACTTTTGACTGGTTTTCCGATACGCTGGTAGTGTAGTGAATGCTATTTTGTGTGTGAGAGGGTGGAAGTAAGTGGAGAGGAAGGGACAAGAAATATTAAGATCACTTGCAGTCCGTTTCCCGTTTGTTAGCATATTACCCAAGCATCGCCTGTTATTAATAGAAGAAACCACGGAAAACTATCGAACAGAGCAGCCGGCAACTAGAATTTTCCTCCAGACGGCGCCTGAAGCCCTGAAATTGGTTTATAGCAAAATTTGTTTTGTGTCTGCCTGTGTGTCCGTCCTTCCGATCGTCTGTAGCTAACACTAGCACGTATATTGTTCATAAAATTTTCTTGAAGATTGACATTCCCCTAACGACCTGGCCGATCTCCAGGTCCTGCGAATTCGTAACGGATGTTATGATTTTGGGATACTTTACACTAAGCCTTAACTTTTTCAAAATTTTCTCAAAATGGCACCAAATTTGTTGATTTTCTTACTCGGATAGAGCAAAGAACGATAAAAAATTGGGAGGACCTTATTTTTGTTGAATTCTCTGAATTTTCGAAATTTGCGAAAGTTTAACGCAATTTTCTTAATCTTCCTACAACTACATTATTATAATTATAACTTTTTTCTGAATGCAATCCGTTTTTCAAAAATAGATGTTTAATTAAGGTCACGTGCAATTTTTTTAAAATATGAGTGATTTTTACGCAATTTTGCGTGAAATTTATGCAATTTTAGAGACAATATTTTCTTAAAAAGAAATCTTCCTTTCTTTAATTTTGGCTTCTCAAAGAACGCTTTTAACAATGGCACAGATTCTTTTTTCAGCAAACCCTGAGTATTTTCAAAAACCGCTAAACTATAGAATTGATTAGTTTTTTTCCGTAACGAAATTTGATCTAATAAATCTTTAAATAAGGCAATATACAATTTTTCCAAAAAATAAGAATGCTTTTAGCGTAATTTTTGTTTGAAATAAAGACGATTTTAAAACATTTTATATCCTTAAAACCTCTGTCGTTTTTTTTCGTTACTCTTCCCTCAAATAGAGAAAAGTAGGATTGAAAGATTGGCACATGCTCCATTTTCTTTAAAGACTCTGAATTTTCGAACTTTGCAATAGTTAAAAATAATGCGAGAAGTATGTGCTGTAATAACACCACTAGTCTCTTATCCGAACTCACCTCGGTGCCCATTATTTCGAGTAAATGAAACTGATGGCTAGACGATTTGTGGAATGATCAATTAATAAATAAAAAACATTAAACGATCTGAGGAATGAAGATCAGAACAAAGAACTCTAGTGAAACGTACTGCGAACACGTTTTCTCACAGAGCGATAGGAAATTGATTCCGGTACCCAGACCTTGGAGGCGATGCATTGTGCTACCGGGCAAACGGGTCGTCCCATTTCTCCCTCCCAAATTCCTCGGGAGAGAGAGAGAGAGAGAGAGAGAGAGAGAGAGAGAGAGAGAGAGAATGGTGAGGGTGGGAGTGAAGGAGGGAGAATGAGAGATAGAAGAGGGAGAAGGTAAGGAAAAAAAGGAACGCTTATTTGCCCTCATTGTGTGCTGGTGATGTCTCGAGCTTACGATGTAATAAGATCCGCAAGATTTACGGGAAGGTATTTTGCGCGACAGCGACAGCAACCGCGACACAATTTCGTGAGAGAGTGAGAGGGAACCGAGAGAGGAAGGCAGGAATCGGAACGGAGGGCGGCAAGGGTGCGATGGGCGTGCCTGCTTGGCGCTGCGGACGATTTGTCAGTCGTCGACAGTCAGACGCGGGCGATCACAAAGCGTTCTGCCAACATACCTCACGAGCAAAATGTTCGTGGACAAGATACTGTAAGAAGTATGGACAATGGTTTTGCCATTTATTTTGTGGTCCAAAAATAATGGAGACATGAGATTTAAGGGAGATATATTCAACTTTTTTCTATGTTTATATTGAAGGCGCAACTTTCAGAAACACGTCAAAATTTATGTGTATCAATCATGAATATGTTGTCAAAATATTTTTTGCTAACCTTCCGTCATGGAAATGAATATGTGTTAAATTTCAGCTCTCACTGCAATTTGTTTATTATACCTCGTTTTATTACTTTCATTGAGAACACGACCTTGGGATTAAGGAAATACCACAACAAATGGGTCAATCATGACTCAGTGGATATACCGAGTAAATTAATGAGTTATTCACCGCGGAATCTATGGTTCCAACCCAAGACAATAGAAATGAAATTCGTGATGGACAAAAGCGATATTCTGGCAGTTTTTCTTAAGATGTCCCATTTTCCGCATCGGTTATAGCAGTATTGCGAAGACCTGCCATTTTGATCAGTCATTTTCGAACTGAATTATCTTGCGCACCCCGATGCAATAACCTTACGTCGTTATCACAAACCCTACGCAATCCTCATCCTGTTCTGGACCCACTTAAATGTTTATGGCGAGCTAATTACCTGATCATCCGTTCCCATGATCTCTTGGATCCAAAACGCCGTCTTCTACAGTACTTGCGAATTCGCGGTTGTCAACTCACGATCCATGCAAATTACAGTAAGAGCTCTAACCTACGATATAACAGTCCTTAAAAACGCTTTTGAACGCCTCGACTGATGTTAAGATCCAGAGGTGAAATTACGGAAATTCAATGTGAGGAAAATAATTAAGGAGAGCAAATAGTCACTGTGTTCACTGTGATACGCTTAACGCTGTCTACACAGGAACTTCTTGAAGTGCAAAAAAAGGTTAAAAGTCGCTGTGGGCGCACTCGCTTAAACCCAGTATGAGATAAACTGAGCTACCCACTGTGTTTTAAATATCCATTATTCCAAAACTCGCAATACTTTATGTATTATGAAACACTTTGCAGCACGTGAAATGTTGCGCAATAAATATGCTATTTTTAAGATGAACTCTCGATTCGGATTCATCAAATCTTACACATTTATATGCCACTTTTCTAGTAGTTTTCATAGTTAAACCATTGTGAATATTGCAAGCTTACATGATAAGTTTATTGCACACTTAACGTTTCGTCTTCCTTTGAAAAAATTCATAAGGTCATTACTGGAACCAAATTTAAAATTTTCTATACCCATAGCATAGCCTATTAGCAGTATCTTGTCAGTGTTACCATCGGGTTACTTGTAACCAATAATTTTCAGTTTTGGATATTTTCTCATGGGTGTTTCTTTATTGCGTCCTTCAATAGCTCATTCAGAGAGAGAGAGATTACCGGGGTACCCCCTAAGGATTTCCTGGTGCGCCATCTATTTTGGTCCGTTTAACCGTGTCTGTAGTGCATGTTACAACCGGGAGGGGCGGCGTTTCTCCCTCACTGGAACATGAGATTCAGCTCAGACATATACGCGAGGAGTTCTCTTCCAAGTATGACCCTCGGAGGGGCACAGTTCCAGCCGCGACAATCTCAAAGTTTCGATATGTTTGGTAGTTCCTGCTCGTAAGAATACCTTTGTATGATATGTAATTGAAGAGGAGGAGACAAGGATGAACAAGGAAAGATCGCGCGCGGTCTGTAGTGGCCCGCCCGCGCGCGCGTGGCCCCTTCGACGTAGCTGTAGCGATTCGCTACGGTCAAGACACCTACCCTAGAACCTCCCTTTCAGAGACCCTGCAACGGTTGTTACATCTTACCTGGTGTACGTCTAGATAATCCCATTTTTGGTCGCTGTGGGTGGCCTCACAGTTAGCCCCGTTGGCACTAGCTTTTAAAATGATGTTATAACTTGACATCAAGCGTTATATGATATGCAAATTACATGTTTAATATACAGCAAAAAGTTCCTTATTTTATTTATACAATTATTAATTTTAATGTTACACCGTTAAGATATTAATTTATTATTTTTATTCACGTGTAAGTTTAAATTAAATTTCGGCCAAAAGTTAGACCCATTATACTCAAATGGAAAGGACAAAATAGCCCTATAGTTGTCAAGAACATCCAGAGACATAAAAGCTACAAATAAGCAATGGAATATCCCTAACTACCTCTTCTTCTATTTCTTAATGTATGATAATAACTCTTATTTAATGTATGAGAGTAGATCTCATGCAAAGGTTCGTAAACATCTTCTATTTTTCATTTTCCAGAGTGAAAAAAAATAATATCTGCAAGCATGTTAGAAATAAATGAATCACAACTTAATCACTGATAACTCACTAGATGAATCCAAGAACAGTTGTATAAATAGAGGTGAAGGTGAAAAACAGACTGTGACAAAGGCAGTGGTATATTTTGTTGAATATTCAACGAGCAAACGATGTGAAAAACGACATCCACTCTCCATGCGTTGACATGCGACTGCGTTGCCAGACATGCGATATTGCGCATCTCATTTGCCTGAGAGCTGCTCCTCATGGCGTGGCGTGCTGCGTAAAGGAGGGAAAAACTGTTGATGTCGATCGAAATGAGAGGCGAAAGGCTTTCTATCCATTACGTTCGTTCGAAGATGCAGCAATGCTCTACTTGATCCATATTGCATCACTTCAATCTTTCGTTATATTATATTGCTTTCGTTTCTTTCAATTTATATTGCACATCCCATTATTTGGTAATTGTTAATTTCTTTTCCACTTTCTTCCTCCCTCTGTTTCTCTCTCTCTCTTTCTCTCTCTCTTTCTCTCTCTTTCTCTCTCTCTTTCTCTCTCTCTTTCTCTCTCTCTCTTTCTCTCTCTTTCTCTTTCTCTCTCTCTTTCTCTTTTTCTCTCTCTTTTTCTCTCTCTTTTTCTCTCTCTTTCTCTCTCTCTTTTTCTCTCTCTTTCTCTTTCTCTTTCTTTTTCTTTCTCTCTCTCTTTCTCTCTCTCTTTCTCTTTTTCTTTCTCTCTCTTTCTCTCTTTCTCTCTCTCCCCTCTTCCTCCTCATCCCTCAACATTTCTTTCTATCTCGCTCTCTTTTCTTCATATTCATACAAAAAACACTTCTCTCTTATTCTTCTTTGTCTTCATTTCTTGTTTGGTTAGTGTACGTCCAACAGCGCTCCATGCCCCTCGGCCCTCCCTATTCGGGCCAGCTCTGCCTCTCCTTACCCGCGCAGTTCCCTCTTGTACGAGACGGCCCGTTACCCATTCATTTATTCCAGAATACACACAGAACATGCAGACATGGTGGAGAGTGTGTATACACATCGCGAATGACATTAAGTACATATTTGACGTTTAAAGCTTGGTATATCCATATGTAGGCACGTAGCATTAGGCACAGAGCGCTCCGCGCGGGGAGCGCTTTGAAACGTTAGCCTAAGGCGAGAGGGCCCTCCGCGGCTGTTTCTTTGAGTTGGCTGGATCAAGGGAGCGGAAAGTCTCGACTCCTGCGGAGATGATGTTCCAACTGATGAGTCGTCGAGCGTTCTCGTTTACGGAGGGTTGAAAAGCGCCTGCCTCCGAGGGGCTGTACGCGATGCGCATATGTGCGGCTACGCGCTCTCGCGATGATGCATAACCCACGCATGTGCAGCAAAACGACATCTCGAGGCGTGCTGTTTCAGGAGCTTGGGGTCCGCCTGTCACGGCTCGCTGCTGCCAGCAGTGTACAAGGCGGCCTTGGCCCACTCGGCCAATCAGCGCGCTCATCGTCCTGTGGCCGATCACTCGCAGGACGCTATATTATACGTCACGGTAAGTGTGCTCCCGCGCGGCTTAGAATTAACAAGGTTCCATTTGCACAGAGCATAAGCGGGCTCTGCACGGGCTGCGGTAAGTAGTCGTTTTAGAGTTACGAAGAGTCCGTATTATTCACTCAATAGCGATCAGAATCGTCAGATGACCAACCTTGATGGCCGAGATTGATAAGGCTGTAGGGCCGTAGTTGTCTCGGCTCGAAGGGTCACGTGTTCAAATCCAGCATTGAGCATGGATGTTTGTGTGTGCTTGTGTTGTCCTTACGTGTCGTGTTCTCATTTAGTAACCCCTTGAAAAATCCAAGTGGTTACCACGCGAACTAGAAATTAAAAAGAGACTTTGTTTGTTTTTTCTTAATTTTAAAAAATCGTCAGATGGCAAAAATATTTCACTCGATAAGAGGATGTTACCATAACCCACTTAAAATAAAATAAAAGTATTAAATCAAACCTATTCGGTGTGAATAAAATGTATTAACTATGTTCATGTCATACGAGAAATGAATGTAAATAGTTTAATGTAATATTTACTTTGAATTATTTGATTAGGGCAATATTCTCGAAAACATTTAATTTTCACAGGTAGTGGAGAGATATAAACATAAAATATTAAATTCTAATTAAAATTTTGCCCCTGATTATTTGCAGATTTAATATTTCAGTTTTTCTCACTCTGCGCAATATATATGAGTCTGAAAGTAAAACGAGTCTAAGTGGAATTTGGAAGAAAAATAAGTTACTCTAATATAAGTCTAAATTTAAAACAAATGAGTCTCTAATCCTAATACTATTAGAGAAAAATATTATATATGATTCCTATTACGAGTGCTTAGGTTACATGTTTGGGCAGAAAATGTACCTACCACTATGATTTCTTTTTTTCTGGTGGAGAAAAGGTAAACTAAATGACAGTATTTCAATTGCGTTTAGTTGATTACAAGAGCACGCACTATAATTCAGGGAAAATTAAGTGAAATAACTACAGATTTACAGATGTAGTACATAGTATTGTATTAACGTGTAATTGCGTGTAACAATAATGTAATAAAGAAGGATGACGATGATAAGGTGATCAGTTGCCTTGTTGATCAGTTTCTTGCCGGTGACAGATTATCGGTACTAGCTATAGAGCTAGACCTAATTTAGTCACTATCTGGAGAAGAATTCTCACGGACGTTGCACTGATTAGGTACTGAAAAGGTACAAATGTTACCTAATCTATATTTATCAGTTTTCATTCTAATAGTAGAGATTTTTTTATTACTGAGAAGAACATCAAATTCTGGGAGAAAAACAAAACGAGATTGGATTATAATATGGCGTATTAATAATATACCTCATGTATAAAGGCAAATGGTATTTTATATACCTATTGAACCTCATCTTCCATTTCTTGTATTCATTTGATTTTCATTTAATAAAGCAATCGTGCAGAATGACTACCGAATACGGTGAAAATTAGTCTATTAATCCACAATTACGTAAAGTTTTATTAATCTGAAAATAATTGCAAAATTATAATCACATAAAAGGACATTCACGACAATAAGCTAAAACTGGGTTGCAACGATATAGAATAATAATGTTAATATACTTTTTTCTTTCGAATTAAACTTTAAATTAAATTACATGAGAGTGAATAACAGAAACTTAGCTTTGTTTTTCTGAGCCACATATTTATTTATGGGTGAGAATCAGAACCAGTGATTTCATTTCACTGTATCCGAGGTCACTACACCCAGACTCCACTGCAAATTGAAGTAAATTACTTGTATTTTCTTCAAATTGTTGCTTACAAATTGGACAGCGACTTCTTCTCTAATCAACAGAGGAGAAGAAGGAAGGAAAATTCGAGGACGTGTCTTTCGAATTGGGTACAAAACGGGGACGAGACCAACTTATTAGACCGCACAAAATACCGACGTGTTCCGCCGGAGAAAAGCATGCCGTCGATGTTTTGCCCGTGTCGCAGCAATAATTGGCAATACAAGCAATTTACAGAAATATATGAAGAAAACAGTTTCTCAAGTCTTTGCTTTATATTTTTATCTGGCTGCGACCAGACGCATCGTAATTTTCACAGTGAAACCCATTCCCTAAAATAAACGTTGATATTGTTATTCGATGTGTTTAATCATGAGTCAATATAATTTAATTGAGGTAATTTGCAATATAGAGGATAAGTCACGTAACTGTAGAACCTTCTGTAACTTTTGAACGATTGACGTTATTGCAATGAAGTTTTCACAGAAGTGCACGAGAGTATGAGGCTAATTTATCAGTGTATTCATTCCTATTTCATCACTTGAATAGTACGAGATATTTAAGATAATTTTTTATTCAAGTGGAACAATACATTTTTTTACATCTATCCTGACGAGCGTAAAAATACGAATCCAATGATATATACATTTTCATATGTTAGATAAGCATTTTTTCAGTAATTTTGATTTTTTGTGACTAGTGTTTAAAACATATTGTGAATGTAGCAGTCCGCCACACAAGGTCACGCAGCGCTCCCCCTACTAGGGAGCGCTCGGGGAAGGGAAGGGATCTTAGTATTTGCAGGTTCGGAACATATTCCAAATATTCGCAAAACTGTTGTAGTTTTTTTTCCTGAACTCTTCATTCTATTTTTCCGCATTTTCATATTTGTTGTATTACTTAAGGATTGAAAATACGGATATCATAAGTAGTATATATTGACATACGATTCTTTGTTATTTCAACTTCATTTAAAGGGGGTGTTTTACCATAGGATATTAATGGGATCTTAAAACTAAATACACTGCAACAGTTTTGTGGATATTTGGAATATGTTTCGCATCTTCAAATATTAAGATCCCTTCCCTTCCTTGAGCGCGCACTGGCAGGGGGAGCGCTGCGTGACCTTGTGTGGCGGACTGCTACATTCAAAATATGCTTTAAACACTAGTCACAAAAAATCAAAATTACTGAAAAAATGCTTATCTAACATATGACAATGTCTATATCATTGCATTCGTATTTTTACGTTCGTCAGGATAGATTTAAAAAATGTATTGTTCAAACATTCAAAATATACGTTAAACACAAGTTGCAAACAATTATAATTACTCAAAAATGCTTATTTAACATATGGCAAATAGTTCTATTCGAAAAACAGTTACTTAAAATATCTCGTAAAATACAAGTGAAAAAATATAAATGAATACACGTATCAATTAGCCCCATTTTCTCATGCACTTCCATGAAAACTGCATTGCAATAACTTCAAATATTCAAAAGTTATAGGAGGTGCTAAAGTTATGGGACACCCTGTATTAAATAAATTTACCATTTATTTAAAATCATTATAACTTTGTATGATTATTTCGTATATGGTGTCAGAATAATTTACATGAATTATAAAAGAAGTGAACAAAATCAAAGTGTCGCATTTGGCAATCTTCACAAAATTCCGGATAGAAGTGCATTAGATAAAATGGCATCACCATTTGAAAATAAATGAAGAGGTAGGATGAATATCTCGGAACAAGAGATTCTATGAGCTTTTGTTTCCACACGCATCCAGGGTTTCCTTCTTCCTCTTTTCCTGTCCCAACTCCGATTCCTTTTCATTGGTAGCGCTCCCTGTATCCCGGTGGTCGGGCCCGAACTCGCTCGTCATATAGTGGGGCTTCATCCAATCTGTCGTCTCTTTGCGGACGTTTTAATTCCATACGATGACGAGTTGCCGTATCTGTCAACATTTCCGTGTGTGATGTTTACACGGCATTCGCTGCCCCGGCGCTGCGCTGCGCGCGGCCGATGCGTCTCTGAATAAACAAACAAACGCGGAGACAAAGCCAGCGCCCGCGCCCCCTCCGCCGCTCTGTCCTTGGGGCTGCGGTCGAGGCGCGAGAAGTGGGTGGGCGCCATTAACCCCTGTCCAAACAGAATGAATGCGTTCTTTGTTGCCACTGAAATCTATTCCCGCGGAAGCTCGCCCTACTCCATTACAAGAGATTTTCAGCCCCTCGTCGCATAACTCCGCGCCTCTTCTACATACTAGTCAACATGCTTTTATTTCGCTGTGCACTACCTCAGCACCTTTGGTAGACGAATAAGACGTTGACATGGACTAAATATACTGATCAAATAGTATATTTTGGGTCAAAACGTTGGTTTGGGAGGCAGAGAAACGTCTTAAATACAAGAGTTAAAAAATCGAGATCAGCCGAATGTGGGGCGTAAAAGCACAGGTTGTCCCGAGTTATCTGAGTACCGGCATTTGTTTCGCAAATTTGTGTAAGAACTTGGCTAAACTCTCTGGTCGTTCAAAAGATTGGAAAGTGCAATGTATTGCTTTATTGGGAACAGCTCACATTTTGCGCAAAGGATTGTAGAGGCACCAACAGACCCTAGATCTGTTTCTAAGGAAGCTGGTTGCAACGCAGAGTAGATTTTATATTCAACCACCTTAAGTCGTTAATGATAGGAACAACAATATTAATAATAATAATAATAATAATAATAATAATAATAATAATAATAATAATACCTAACTACTGAAATGGCCAAACTCTTGTTTTCCTCATAGCACAAGTACTTATCTCAATAAGCCGCAAGATAATAAAACATGTAAGAAATAATTATAACAACATTTCCGAGGAACCACAGGCCAATGTGCTGTGTCAATCAACTGATGTCACTGCAGAGCCTCAGACCTGGAGGTTCTGGTGTTCGAGTCCCGACGGTGGCAATATTTTCGACATTAGCTAGAGAAATCGGTCTAATTCAGCCCCTTCCTGGAAAATTCTAGCAATCGGATGCTCGGTCGGGAGTTTTCCGTGGTTTCTCCGAACAACACCAGGCGATGGCGAGAGGAATACCCTAACAAACTGGCCACCGACCGCGCGCGATCATTCCTTTCTCTTTCTTGTCCTATCCTCACCCCTTACACACGCTTGCATTTACTAGATCTTATTCCGGTTGGGCGGTGCTCTGTTGGTGGGAGATAGCTGGTTGGGGAAACCC